ACGCCTTTGTTAGCAAAATCTGCTCTTCTTATAAAGTTTGGATGGTCTACTTGGAATTGTAAAATATCCAGGACAAAATTATCACCATAGCGGTTAGCTGTTTTAGTTATAAGGCTTTCTTCTTCAATTACTTTACGTCGATAATAGGCAATTCGGTCAGTATTAGAAAATGCATCTGAAATGTTTCTAACTGAAGAAAGTGGATTATTTTTTTCCAAGGACTGTCCAACATGTAATTTTCGGGGTAAAGTATCTGGTGCTGCAGAAACGCGTTTTTTGAACATATCTATTTCATTGTTGAATGGTTTGTTTTGAATAGGTTTTTGATGTTCATGGTGACCTTTATGTAATATGTAGAAACAAAAGCCATTTTCGTCAGGTTGATCCAATTTAATAAACTTACAATTGACCATACACTGGACCCATTCTAAAACTCCTAAAAATAAGTAAGAAATAAATTAATAATATGTATTTGTCAATGTTTATATAAAATCCGAATTAAATACCATTGCAATTATTTAATGGGCAGCCTTTACCAATCTGCTCTTCTATTTTTTTTTTGTGGTCTTTCATTTTTGGTCTAACTTGGGCACTGCATTCTTTGCATTGAATTATTCCCAAGCATTTCTTTATATTAAATTTGGCGTTATAATTATTGTATCATCTTGATTCAGAAGAATAAAAGACCCATCCACTTTGTGACCAATCTCTTGGTTCATTATCAAATTTAAAAACACAATCACCACAAGGCCACAGTGGATAGTTTTCGCCTAATATATATATATATGTTGAGATTAATTAAACTGAAAAACCAATAAATATGTGTATATATAGTAAATATACTTACTGTTATTATCTTTATCTGAATCACAATGAATGCAATAATCATTGAGCTCTGTAAATATTTAATTGATCATTTAAGATTTCCGCAACATCATTTTTGAGAGAAAAAAAATAAATAAATTAATAAATAAATTATATATAAACCTTTGTTGATGGAGTCTTCGAATTTTTTAATAAAAATAGAGAATTTATCCATTTTAAATCAATTGTGTGTATTTAATATGTTACGCGGAATTCAAGTAATATATTATTATTATTTATAAATATTATATTTTTTTGTATTTTCAACAAAAAAAAATTTAGGTGATTTAAAATTGTTTTCAGAGATATTTATATCTTTTTATTTAAATAACAAATGTTAATATTTTATATATCTTTTAATTAATTCAATGTTTGATTCATTCGTAAATTAATGATTGGGTTCATTACTAAATTAATATTAAACCGAATTATCCAAATTACTAAATTAACGTTTTAAAAAAAAACAATGTCAATCAAAACAGATTCTATCCAAAATTTCTTAGTAAACAGACAAATAAAGACTATTCTAATTATATTTTAAATTCATCCAAATTACTAAATTAATATTAACATTTATATTTATTTTGGCCAACAAAATTTAATAATTTATACTGAAAACAAACAAATAGTTTAAATGCAAATAAACAATTGAATATATTTTCCTTTCACTAGTTTCTTCTCCCAACATGTATCTAAATAATAATAAAAAACAATTGAATATATTTTCCTTTCACTAGTTTCTTCTCCCAACATGTATCTAAATAATAATAAAAAACAATTGAATAGATTTTAATTCCGTTATCAATTTCTTCACCTAATATAGATCTAAATAAAACAATGCAACCAAACAATCATTAGAGCTTGGACCAGATAGTAAAATCCTTAGTATTAGGATATTTTGATGAATGGATAGAATATCTAGATAGACACTATGTGTAACAAAAAAAACAAAAAAAAATGAAAAAAATAAAAACGAACATGAAAAAATAAAAAACGAACATGAAAAAATAAAAAACGAACACGAAAAAATAAAAAACGAACACGAAAAAACAAAAAACAAAAAAACAAAAAATGAAAAGGACTATGTCACATGCCGTCATATAATTGGACGGCATTTCGATAAACACTTTTAATATACAATATTTGGATTCCTACAATTTAAATGGATAAGTATCTGGATCCAAGCTCTACAATCAATTAATCTTTTAATTGCAAAAAAAACAATTGAATATATTTTTCCTTCTCGCCAGTTCCTAAACCAAACAATTGAATAGATTTAATTCTCTAGTGGGGATATTTACAGTCTAAATAGACTGTACTTTACTTATATACTAGGAACTTGTATGTGGCCAATTTTTAATTTCCGTCCACATTGATCGGGCATTTAATCAGGCAGTAAAAATATGTATTCATACCCTGCTGCGTTCAGCTTCCAAAATGTAACAAATGTGACTATTGTGAACCATGGTTCACATCAACTTTATGTAGCACTCCAGGAAAAGCAAATGGAAAATGTCTGTAAACATATCAGATAGAATTAGTCAGACCTGACCAGGATAGATCTAAATAAACAATTAAAATAAATGCAATTTTTACCATTTACTGTTCTAAATTAAAAAAAATCTAGATTTCTGAAAATGAAAACAAAACTATAGGAAAAATTTATTTTCCAACCTGTACTTTTCGAGAATTTTTTTCAAAAAAACCAAAAATGGATAGGTACAGGGATCAACAAAATTCCCTGGACCCTGTACTTTTCAAGATTTAATTAGGAAATCTTGAAAGGTACAGGGTACAGGTCACCTGTACCATGCCTGCGCCATACCTGTACCAAGATTTTCCCTGTACTTTTTCAGATTTTTTGCATATCACCTGTACCGCTTGCCTGTACTTTTCAAGATTTAGTGGGTGAATCTTGAAAAGTACAGGGTACAGGTGAAATTTGTTGATCCCTGTACCCTGTACTTTTCCGGTGACCGATTTTAGCTTAATCTTGTGCCGATCATTAATATATGCTTCCCAGGGATGAATGAAAAAAAAAAAAGGTTCATTTATATATAGTTTGTCTGTTATAGAACGATAACTCTTGACAGAATAGAGTTTAATTGTGGGTTTGTTACTTAAGTTACAATGAACTTAAATGAAACATTTTATTATATAAAGTGAGGAAAACGACTAGCTACAATATCAATTCAACCGTCTCCGTTGTATTTTTTTAGACTTATTAGTTCTGTTATAAGAATTTTTTCCGTTGTGTAATCAATAATAATAATAATTTTTTCTTCAAAGTTATTATTTATAACTTCGTTATACATTCCAGATAAATCAAGGTTCTTTTTCTCATAGTTTCATTTAAAGGTTGTTATTTATTTTTATTTAACTCGTGATTTTTTTAGCCTTGCGATCACGCGACTTTAAAGTTGAGAAGGCGATCATAAAAATTAGACAATAATTGACAACTTTGAACGGTTATAACTCTTTGAAGAATAGAGATAAATACAGGCTCCAAGTTAAGTTTAAAATATAACAGAGAAATAGGACAATAAAGCCACGGAGCTCTTTTTTATTTCAATGTAAATAATCCCATTTATTCTAAGCTAAAAAAGAGTTGTGAATCGGGGTTTTATGCAGAGGTTTAAATAATAGTGTTTAAGACACAGCTTTGTATTTAATGATTAAAGACATATGCGCTGATCCCCAAAATTCAGTACGGTATGATCATAACATTATGAATACTTTATACTAACAAAAACCCATTGGTTTTGAGATGGGGGCTGTTGAATAGTAAAATGGTTTTTTTAGCGGAGCAAATAAATTTTTTTAGGGTTAATTATCATTCTGCTGACCAGTTTACACATTAAAAATGCTCGTGTTTAACATCGAGACTAGTAATGTATGATGAAACATTGACTTTAGTCGTAGATGTGACTAAAGTATTGATTAAAGGTAGTTTCTCATCGAGGCCATTTTGACGATTTGAGTAAAGTAAAAGCCTTGATGTAATTAAAAACATTTGACGTACTTGACGTAAGTAAAAACTCTTGATACATGATACAAGCAGCAATAATGGTAATGATAAAATATTAATCAAAAGTTCCAAATTATGTAAAAATGTGTATCCTGGGAATTATTATATCATTGTATATATATTGCAATGATGCGGAGGAATAATTATCATGGAAAGTTATCATTTGAATTAGAAATTTTACTTAATTAAATTACTTAACATTTTTTTCCGTATAATTTCTTTCAAAATAAGTAGGCCTCTCCTTTTTTTACAAATTGAACCATTTTTTTATTATACATTTCATAAAATGTAAAAAAACAAATTGCCTTTAGATACATGAGTTGTACTAAATTGATTAACTATAGTATTACATGCAATATGTAGTAATACGCAATAATATCAATAATGTGCTCAGCTGTTTTTAGTGTCTGAGTTTGAAGCAACATAAGTTGATTAATATTGGTACTTAGAATGACCACATAAGACAGTTTTAATTCGTTTTCTATTTTTATTAAATGTTGTACGAAAAAATTGTTTGTTACGCGTCCGCAAAGAAAAAGGAAATAATATAAAAACGTCATTCTCAAAATCTCCCCACATTCATTAAAACAACAAGTCGAAGTTTTATATTTTATATTTTTATACAATGTCATATTACAGTTTGTTATTACCAGAAAGGGCGGAGTTTGTAATAAAAGCCTACAATGAAATGCGTAATAATGCTAATGTTAATTATGGTGAAGAAAGTTTAAAAGACTATTTTTTTTCATTAGTTGAAAAAAACAAGGAGCTTTCTGAAAATGAAAAAGAATTTTGTAAAGAAAATTTTATTTATTCGATTGAATTAAATAATGTAACATATAAATTGGGTAAACCAAAAGAATGTAACAAGTGTAAATTGACAAAATACTCTGATAGATTCTGTGAAGGTTGTATCAGTTTACATTT